TTTTTATGCTTAATCGTTGATCAGGTGGAGCCTGATTGTGTTTCCTCCTGATGCTACGAAGCATGGCAGAGTTTGCTGGCATGATAATCATCTTTGGTTCATTCTGATCGAGATCATTTTGATTTTCAAAGCCTGACAGATCGACGTCACTCTGTCACTTAACATTCATAAACTCATTCATCTTGACTTATGACGGGGAAGGCTGTTGTTGGTTTAGCGTGCGGTAAACCGCTGAGAGCATCTCTGCTAGCAGAAGCTAACCATTAGCGTTAGCAACTCCACCACACAGCAGAACTCCTCCAGGCTTGTGTTATTTGTGGAGATAAAACATCAACGTTGCAGAGCAACCAGTCAGTGGTAGAGTTGTGTTGCTGTTAGCCAATCAGAGGAGAGATGTCCAAATATCAGGACATAAGACTCCAGATCCTGTAGTCTGAAGTTGTCCTCTGATCTGGCATTCTGCTAGTTCCTGAAACTGGTGCACCAGGGCTTTTTCTGCCCAGCGTACAACTTACAAGGCGTTTATTTCTACTGTAGACTGCAAATGTATTGATTGAACGAGTGTCCCACATTTTTTACTTTCTTACCATTGAGAACTTCTTAGCATTAAAATTAAACCTGTTAATGTAGCGGAGTGTGTTTGTGCATGTGCGCACATTCACTAGTGAACTACAGAATGTGTGTCAAGGTGAAACTAAGCTGATAAGAGCCCCCCCACCCCCCACCCCCCATCCCCATCCCTCCAGGGGGAGGCACCACTCAGGGACAGACGGAAGGAGCAGCGAGGGATCGGCTATCCAGGAGAAATGTTTCGCTCCTCGCTTCCTTCAGATCCCCCCGGACCTCACAGTCGAGGAGGGACGATTCTGCAGGATTGACTTCAAGGTCACACACCCACTCTCCTTGTTGTTGATGCTCCTACCAGTTAAGAGTCATAACCGTTGAGTTCTCTCCCACCGCTGCAGGTTAGCGGTCTCCCAGCTCCAGACATCTCCTGGTTCCTGGATGGGAAAGCCATTCGTCCAGATGACTACCACAAGATGTTGGTGTGCGAGAAAGGAATGCACTCCTTCATCATAGAGATTGTCACGGTGCATCATGCTGGTGTGTACGAGTGTGTGGCCAGGAATCGCGGTGGGGAGAGCAGGTTCACCATGAGACTCGAAGTTTTAGGTAAACATCTGAAGGTCCGTTAGGATCAGAGCATCTAGAATATTAAAATCAGCGTTTGACTCTTACCTATCTACAGCTCAGGAAGCTCTCCGTCCTCCCACCTTCATCCAGAAGATGTTGAACACCAGAGCTCTAGAGGGGGACACCGTGAGGTTGGAGTGCAAGGTGGATGCATCGCCTCCCCCTCAGCTCTTCTGGAAGAAAGATAAAGACATGCTGCGGATCGACCCCAACAGGATGAGGTGCTCCTTCACATGTGTGAGGCTGAACTGTCTCACTGCCACTGTTGGGGATGCCAGAGCAGCTTCTCCTACAGATGCAGCCTAGTGAGGCCCAGGCCTTAGTTCAAAACACATCAAACATCACTTTTCTATGTGATTGAATACAACCTAGAAGTAAAGCCATTAGAGCCAGTCACCATCAGTGTTTAAAAGTGGATCCGTGACTATGTCATGGTCTAAAAGGTTCATTTGGTTTTTAAGGATAAGAAGCTAAACAAACTGTCTAGGAGGTGTTTGGTCTAATCATCATGAAACTTTCTAAAATAACCCTGTTGTGTTTTCCGGTGCCGCTCCAGCCTGTACCAGGACGGCTCAGGTCGACAGTGCCTTCTGATTGAGAGGCTGATGAAGTCCGATGCTGGTTGGTACACGCTGTCCGCCATCAACGAAGCCGGCATGTCCACGTGCAACGCCAGGCTGGATGTTGGCAGTAAGTGTTCCCCTCTCCTCGCTTATGTTCCTGAGTGCTGGTTACCATGGAGACTCGGGCAGCTGGAGAACGCTGTGAGCACACCACCACCATGAATCCTGCCATGTCCAGTTTACACGATGAGGAGGAAACGATAAACACCCCCAGGTGGTTGGTTTACAGAGATACCTGGAGCCTGGATGGGTGAAAGTACAGCATAGCTATTGGGTTTCTGCTTCATCACCACATCTGGTCCCTGTTCCACAGAGAGAGAGACCCCTACTCGCCTCGTAGTTTCATGTCACGACTCGGTGGCACACTGGAACCATTACTAAACAGCTGGTTCCAATAGAAGAAGTTCCCTCTGAGTAGAGTTGATTTATTAAACCAGAGGAGGTCTGCTGCTCAGCCTTACTAATTTCTTTTTAAACGCCCACATTTAATACTAGCTGCATCATTTCACATCCAGGAGATGTTTCTGTGATCCATCCTAAGGGCCCATTGTCCTATAAGCTCAAACCCATCTGTCCTCTTCTGGGGCCCACAGGACAGACGGGTTATTTTCAGACGTGTCACGGGAGAAATGTTGAACCAACTTTAAGGCTGTCTTTAGTAGCCAAGTGCAGACAATCAAGTGTGTAGTTTGTGATTGATTATTATTAGTGGAGTTCATCCTTGTCTGTCTGCCCCCCCCAGCTCCAGCTATGAAGACGGCCCCACCCGCATCCAAGACCTTGAAGCTGCTGTCGTCTCTGTCCCACGTCCCTGCCCTGACGGAGGAGAGCCCGGCCCAGCACACGGCCCCGCTGTACGAGAGTGAGGAGCTGTAATGGAACCGTGGTACTGCGGGTCCATGACAGACGAGGACTTCACTAAAGCTTCAATCTCTGCACAAAACAGAGCAGCTCTGCCAAAGATGACCTGTGATATTAGGATGTATCACTAACGGGATGTGGAGACATGTTGATGCTGCGGTTCATCTCCACTGTGTTCTGCTCTATCTCTAGGTCTCTGCTGTGAGTGATGTAGAGATAGCTCCAGCTCTTCTCAAACATAAACCTCCCCTGTAGACCACTGTTGCGTGTTTAAGTGAAAACTGAACCTAGATTTGGTCCTTTCCTGCTCTTGAACCAGTCCTGCATGCTCTGGAGTAGTCCTCCCATGCCCCCCCCCCCCCACACCCTCCCACCCACCCACCCACACACACACACCCCGCGTCTGTATTTTCCAAGAACAAGAAGTTAGCTGCTCTGCTAAAGTTAGGAGTGTATGAAACATTTTATTTATAGTTATCAGTGTCAAGCCCTGCAGCGAGCTGCTGCTAGAAGACTGATGCTGGACCTGCTCTCGGAGCAAACATCTACATTGCTGAAACATCTGAACCTAAGAAGAATCACCACATCCCTGTTGCACTGCCCGTTTTTGGTTACAGGCATCTGTTTGTCAGGCTAAAGGCTAATTATTTAAAGATTTGTGACAATTTCTTATATTGAAGTGCTTATTGCCAGCCAGGAGCTACTTTCACTAATAAACCTTTGTTTTTACCTGGATCTGGTGTTCACTCTGCTCTTCCTTTATTAAACTTTACACGAGGATCTCGAGAGGTGAAGTGGTTTTATGGGTCAGAAAGTGGATGAAGTGCCGTTTGCATCAGACTGGTTTGGAAATATGAGATTTTAAATGACAAGCAGAAACGTGTGTGAAAGTGCTGTTTGTTGTGCAAGAAGTTCTAGATATATCAGTGGATGAATCAGAAATAAAGTGAAACCCTGACGTTGTGTCCTTGTTTTCTTGTGGTCGACTCAAGACGTGACCCCACACCACCACCATCAGAAACCAAGGAGCGGTTTCAGGGCACGGACTAGTTACGAGCTGGCTGATGTGGGACCAGCTAAAGAAAAGAGTACTCATGTTAAGCAACATACAAACGTTTCAAATTAAATTTTATGAACATAATTTAAAAAACAATATATAATGTTTGGGTTGACTGTTCTACTCCACTATTATATTGATACTGTGTAAATCTGAGAAAAAATTAAAATAATTTTGAAAGAACTTGATATATTTTATGAACGTGGAAATTATATCTAAAAACATATAATTGTTTTCGCCACACTTCTTTCCGTTTTAACCCTTTACACTTTTACTTTCTTTGATTATCTAGCCAGCTAATGCAGCTTTTATTTTTGGATAATAAGTACAGAATTGTGCTTTGCTGATGCCTGGCTCAGCAGCGTTCAGCAGCAGACACTAGCGGCAGTTCTGAACAAGAAGTGGATGCAGTTAGCTAGCGAAAGTCGTTCTGCTGGCTAACCATTTAGCGGAAGTAGGTCACAGTGTTATTACAATCATGGACGACGAGGCTATTTTAATAAATTCATAATATGAACACGTTTCGCCAGTTCAGAGTTACAACACTCAAAGAAGCAGAGTCAGAGCGGTGAGTCCAGCAGCATTGCTAGCTAAACAGGAAGGACCCGGTGTGAGTTCCCTTGTCTGCAGCCAGCGTTGCGGTAGAGTAGACGGTATCGTGACTTTCTCTTCTTTCACACTTTCTACCTGCTTAATTATTCTGTTTTAAAAGCTCACCTGGAATCATTGAGGGTGTAAACGAGTTAAGATTTGGACATTACACTGGGGTCATAGGCTGGTGTTGGTCCTAGCACGTTATTGAAAGCTAGTAATTTAGTAAATGATCAATACTTAGTAAATTATCAATACTGTGGCACTTTTTGTTCTGCAAAATGAAGAGGAATTCAAATGATAAATAAATAAATAAATAAATATTAAAGAGTAGACGAAATCATCTCACAGATGCGCAGTAACCCACTGCGCATCCTGCATCAATCACAACGAAGACGTACCACTTCGTGATGTCACAAAGCTCAGTTTGATGACAGGAGGTCAGTCAGTTCATTGCTCCAGAAGGTAAGGGTGTGTAAAGTCGGATCACATTGTGCGATTTTCGGCCGTCTTAGCCAGATGCCTCGTCGGGAGCATAAACGTGTAGAAAAACAGTGAAGGAGGGTGATTAGCTAATTTGAGATGTTCAGTCTGACCGGATCAGCAATAGCTTTATGAGCGTTCCATGACCAAAGTTTGATGTCTCTAGAAGATTGTATAAATATGTTAGTTTCACTTTTATTTATGTAATTTAACTAGTTTTATGTAGGTAATCATTTCTTTGTGAACATTTTCTGTCTTTCGCAGGTAACATGTCTAATATCTGATACAGCTGAATTTGCAGATAAGTATGCATTTATCTAGTCTGTCTTTCACTGAATTGCAGGTAAACCTACTAATATTGGGCCTCATTTCCTCATATTTGCAGGTAAGTATTCATTTATCTAGCCTGTCTTTCTCTAAATTGCAGGTAAGTATTCATTTATCTAGTCTGTCTTTCTCTAAATTGCAGGTAAACTAATAGTGTCCCTTTGTTTTTAGGAATTCTTTTCTTTGCAATGCATTAAACCGAGAGGAGTAAGTGGGATTTCTTTGCTTCAGGATTAATGTTTGTGATGTTTGTGATTTCTTCTCTAATTTGCACGTAAGTACGCATTTATTTAGTATTTTCTTCTCTAATTTGCAGGTAAGTACACATTTATTTAGGATTTTCTTCTCTAATTTGCAGATAAGTATTCATTTATCTGGTATTTCTTTCTCTATTTTGCAGATAAACTTAATATTGGACCTCATTTCTTCATATAGTTCAGAAAAGTATTCGTTTATCTAGTATTTTCTTCTCTAATTTGCAGGTAAGTACGCATTTATCATTTTTTTTTCTGTAATTTGCAGGTAAACCTAATATTGGACCTCATTTCCTCTTTTTCAGGTAAGTATTCATTTATTTAGTATTTTCTTCTCTAATTTGCAGGTAAGTACGCATTTATCTGATATTTCTTTCTATTTTTGCAGGTAAGCCTACTAATATTGGACCTCATTTCCTCATATTTGCAGGTAAACTTACTAATAGTGTCCCTTTGTTTTTAGGAGTTATTTTCTTGGCAATGCATTAAACCGAGAGGAGTAAGTGGGATTTCTTTGCTTCAGGATTAATGTTTGTGATGTAACCAAGGAGTGAGGAGGAGACGGGGTAGGTACAGTCCAGAAAGAAATGGTACAGTCCAAACAAAGGGTACAGTCCAGACAGAAATGGTACAGTCCAGAAAGAAATGGTACAGTCCAAACAAAGGGTACATTCTAAACTTTAATGACGCCATCAGTCTACCAATTTGCAGGTACGTAAATTTTTTCTAGTGTTCTCTTTAATTTGCAGGTAAATACACATGTATCTAGTATTTTCTTCTCTAATTCGCAGGTAAGCACGCATTTATCTAATATTTTGTCCTCTAATTTGCAGGTAAGTACGTTTTTTTCCAGTATTTTCATCTCTAATTTGCAGGTAAGAACGCATTGGTCAAGTATTTTCTACTCTAATTTGCAGGTAGATACGCATTTATCCAGTATTCTCTTCTCTACTTTGCAGGTAAAGATGCATGTATCTAGTATTTTCTTCTGTACTTTTTAAGTAAGTACACATTTACTTGGTCTTTTCTTCTCTAATTTGCAGGTAAGCACGCATTTATCTAATATTTTCTCCTCTAATTTGTAGGTAACTATGTTTTTTTTCTAGTATTTTCATCTCTAATTTGCAGGTAAATACACATTTACCTAGTCTTTTCTTCTCTACTTTGCAGGTAAGAACGCATTGATCAAGTATTTTCTACTCTAATTTGCAGGTAAGTACACATTTATTTAGGATTTTCTTCTCTAATTTGCAGATAAGTATTCATTTATCTGGTATTTCTTTCTCTATTTTGCAGATAAACTTAATATTGGACCTCATTTCTTCATATAGTTCAGAAAAGTATTCGTTTATCTAGTATTTTCTTCTCTAATTTGCAGGTAAGTATCAATTTATCAGTTTTTTTTTCTGTAATTTGCAGGTAAACCTAATATTGGACCTCATTTCCTCTTTTTCAGGTAAGTATTCATTTATTTAGTATTTTCTTCTCTACTTTGCAGGTAAGCAGCCATTTATCTAATATTTTCTCCTCTAATTTGCAGGTAACTACGTTTTTTTCTAGTATTTTCTTCTCTACTTTGCAGGTAAGAACGCATTGATCAAGTATTTTCTACTCTAATTTGCAGGTAAGTACGCATTTATCTAATATTGTCTTCTCTACTTTTCAGGTAAATACGTTTTTTTCTAGTATTTTCATGTCTAATTTGCAGGTAAGTACGCATTTATTTAATATTGTCTACTCTACTTTGCAGTTAAAGACGCACTTATCTAGTATTTTCTTCTCTACTTTGCTGGTAAGTACACATTTACCTAGTCTTTTCATCTCTAATTTGCAGGTAAGTACGCATTTATCTAGTATTCTCTTCTCTAATTTGCAGGTAAATATGCATTTATCTAATATTGTCTTCTCTACTTTTCAGGTGAAGACACATGTATCTAGTTTTTTCTCCTCTACTTTGCAAGTAAGTATGCATTTATCTAGTCTTTTCTTCTCCAATTTGGCGGTAAATACGCATTTACCTAATATTGTCTTCTCTGCTTTGCAATTAAGTAGGCATGTATCTGGTATTTTCTTCTCTACTTTGCAGGTAAGCACGCATTTATCTAATATTTTCTCCTCTAATTTGCAGGTAAATATGCATTGATCTAGTCTTTTCTACTCTAATTTGCAGGTAAGCATGCATTTATCTAATATTTTCTCCTCTAATTTAAAGGTAAAGACGTTTTTTCTAGTATTTTCATCTCTAATTTGCAGGTAAGTACGCATTTATTTAATATTGTCTACTCTACTTTGCAGGTAAAGACGCACTTATCTAGTATTTTCTTCTCTACTTTGCTGGTAAGTACACATTTACTTAGTCTTTTCACCTCTAATTTGCAGGTAAGTACGCATTTATCTAGTATTGTCTTCTCTGCTTTGCTGTTAAGTACACATGTATCTGGTATTTTCTTCTCTACTTTGCAGGTAAGTACGCATTTATCTAGTATTCTCTTCTCTAATTTGCAGGTAAATATGCATTTATCTAATATTGTCTTCTCTACTTTGCAGGTGAAGACACATGTATCTAGTATTTTCTTTTCTACTTTGCAGGTAAATATGCATTGATCTAGTCTTTTCTACTCTAATTTGCAGGTAAGCATGCATTTATCTAATATTTTCTCCTCTAATTTAAAGGTAAAGACGTTTTTTCTTGTATTTTCATCTCTAATTTGCAGGTAAGAATGCATTGATCAAGTATTTTCTACTTTAATTATCAGGTAAATATGCATTTATCTAGTATTCTCTTCTCTAATTTGTAGGTAAATAGGCATTTATCTGATATTGCCGTCTCTACTTTGCAGGTAAAGACGCATGTATCTAGTATTTTCTTCTCTACTTTGCGGGAAAGGACACATTTACCTAGTCTTTTCTTCTCTAATTTGCAGGTAAGTACGAATTTATCTAATATTGTCTACTCTACTTTGCAGGTAAAGACGCACTTATCTAGTATTCTCTTCTCTAATTTGCAGGTAAATATGCATTTATCTAGTCTTTTCATCTCTACTTTGCAGGTAAGTACACATTTATCTAGTATTGTCTTCTCTTCTTTGCAGTTAAGTACACATGTATCTGGTATTTTCTTCTCTACTTTGCAGGTAAGTACGCATTTATCTAGTATTCTCTTCTCTAATTTGCAGGTAAAAATGCATTTATCTAGTCTTTTCATCTCTAATTTGCAGGTAAGTACGCATTTATCTAGTATTGTCT